GTGGGGGAGCGGTGAGGTGGGGGGGTGGCAGTGGGGCTGCCGGAGGGGCCCCGGCAAGGACGGGGGATTGTTGGACTTTGGGTTGGGGCTGCACTGACCTGCCTCGGGAGTGTGTGGGGGTCTGGGGCACAGGGCTTTGGAGCCTCTGGGTCTGGGGCGGGTCTGCGCGCTGGGGGGGCTGGGCCCGTCCTGGGGATGGGCGGGGTTCTCGCTGACTCTGGGGTGCTGCCAGTGCTAGAGGGGCTCTTGCTATATGCCCTGGGCTGGAGGGACCTGGCGTCCTCCTGCTTAGGGGGGTGGGGGATGGGACTGAATAAATGATGGGGCCAGTCAGGAATCTGGTCTTCTAGCCTCCCTATGACCTCCTTCACCTTTCCCCCTTTGGTCATGTCTCAGAACATACACCCTGGTGGGTGGGCAGCCTGCAGGGCGTTTGGGGGGTGGGGCTGCTTTATTGCGGCCTCGCACTTCTTCCTCCCTCACTGCCTGCCCCTCAATTTTAATTACACATTAGACACAGAGGGCTTGGGGGGTGGGAGGGGCATGATGGGAGGCTCCACTACCTGACAGTTGTGGGGTGCCTGTGTCACAACTACCCTCCAATTTTAGTTGCACCTTAGTTACCACACACCTTATCTTTACTCCACCATACAACACTTCACAATCCATGACATGCATCCAACACAAAACAATACATTTACAGAGGCAGGCAGAGGGGTTGAAGGAGTGGGGGAGATTCTCATTGGCCTCATGTCCTACCCCTGGAGCCCCGGGCGTGCCTGATCTGGGGTGGGCTGGGGGGGGTCGGGGCTCCCCTAGCGTGGGGCCCGCCCTTGACCTAGGGTTCTGGGGACTCGGGCTTGTGGCCTTTGCTCATTTCTGGGTGGGTGGTGTGTCCCTGGGCCTGGGGGCCCGTTGTCTCCTCTCCTCGCCTGGGCCCTCTTCGGCAAAGGTGAGGCTCCCGCTGCTTCCCCCTGCCAGCTCTCTCACGGTGGGGGCATTCGGGAGTCTCTGGGGTGCATGGCCGGTGTTGTCGGGGTAGGTTTTGGTGCTCCTCCTTGGGGGTGCTTGACTGGGGGGGGCTGGGCCCCTGTCCGGGGATGAGATCGGCCTCGGGGGCTGCTGTCACTGCCTGCACTGTAGGGAGGGATGCCTCTGGCTGGGCTGGGGGACCGTTGGCCTGGTTCTCCCGCGTTATCACTCCCTGGCGGCAGGGAGCTTCCCGGCACGGCTTTCTGCTGTTCTTCCTTGGGGCGGGGTACAGCTTCCCCCGGGACATGCGGTCTGGGGTCCTTTGCGCTTTGATTGGTCGCAGGGTGTCCTGGCTTCTGGGGGTGGGGGTCTCTGCGTGGGTTGATCCGATTGCGGTTTGGTGGGCTGCGGTGGGATTGTGGGGCAATTGTCGATGCATCTTGATGCATGATGCTTTTTCCCTGGGCAGGGTCTCTGGATGGCTGCTGGGCGTTTAGTTTGTGCATTGGAGTCCGGGGGAGGCATTTCCTCGTTGGCTTGGAGGGACCTGTTTGCGTCCCTGTTTTGCTTCGTTGGCCTCGGATCCGTGCTTCCCCATTTCTCTGTCGGCCAGTTGTTGGACCCCTCTGGATACTGAGGTATATAGTTATTTTTCGGGATGTGCAGTGTGGGTGCGGGGCAGGGCTGTGCTCTGGTTTGTTCTGGGTTTGTGCCTGGAGTTCTCGGCCCTTGACGGGTGGGTGGGTTGTTGGTGGCATGCAGCTGAGCTAGTTGATTTTGCCTCGTTGCTGGTTTGGCTGGTGTTGCACGGCGGCCAGGGGGCGTGCTGGGCATGAGGGATGTCGGCTGGCGCCGGCGGACTTAGTTTTTTCCGGCGGTTGGGGGGACGGCGGACTCTCTTGTTTGCCCGACCTCGCACGCGGGATTCGCGGGGGGCTGCTGGGAATTGGGTGTCGCCGTGCTCGCGCAGTGTGCGCGTTGGGCTCGTCACTTGTGCATTGGTGTTGATGATTGCGTGGCATTTGGGCATTTTGGTTGTTTGCTGCGCGGCGGTGGGGTGCTGGATAGGGGGGAGCACTGGTCTATGTTGTGTGCGTGCCGCAGTCGGTCCGGGCGCTGCTCTTCCGCAGGTTACGCTTTTTGCGTTCCGTCGGCATTACGTTGTCAACTGGCATTTGGGTCGGGGTCTTCTGCGTTTGCATCGCGGTGCATCTGGGAGTCTTTGTTTTTTTTTGATTTGATTTATTCTTTTTCTTTCTCCCACCCCTATTGGCTACTGGGGTTCTTGCCTGCCTGTTACAGTCGTGGCGCCCCACTCTCACTAACGACTACATTCTTTAACAGGCTTATGTGCACACACATGTACACCCACACACATACAGACACATTCACCCACACGCACACAGACACACACAGACACAAACAAACTTAGGTTGTCCCTGGTAGAATTATTCCTGATGCTTTTCTTTCAGTTACTTATTTAAATTAATTATTATCCCAGCTCTCGTGGCTGTGTTGTGTTGCTTATTTAGTGTGTATGACTGTTTCTTGTTTTCATTGTTCTCTTAGTTGTCTTAATATGTCAGCTGTTTATTGCTGCTGTTCGGCTGGTTGTCTTTTATTATTATTATTATTTTTATTGTTTGTTTTTGTTTGTGTTTGTTTGTTGTTGTTGTTTTTCTCCTCCCCAAGCCCCCCTCTCTGTTCTATTGCAGGTTTCGTTGCTTTCTGCAATTGGTGTTTCCCACAGCTTTTCCCTGTTGTCCCCACCTTCCATCCCCCTTTCCCCCTTCTCTTACAGGTGTTGTCCTTTCTCTGTGCTGTCTGTTTGTGCCCCCCCATCCCCGTGTCTGCCCCCCTGTCCGGCCCGGTGACAAATCAATACATAATTAAATAAATAATAAAACAGACAAAGGAGTATTTTAATACTCTCTTGTTAAAGTAAAATCTGTCTGGCACAATATGGTAGAAAAGCACTAGCAAGGCTACCAGGGAGGAAGTCTCCGAGTTTAGCGTTGAAGTTCTCCAAAACTGTACTCACAGCAGCCTGAGATGCACTCCTGTGCATGTGCTGGAATTATATTTCTCAGGATAGCTATAGAGAGTGTATGATTTCAGCAAACATATCAGCCAGTGTAGCTTGTGTGTCTGACACCAAAGTTCCTGTGGCTAACATGTTCCACTGTGCTGCAGAGATCCTTTCAAAATGTTTTGTTATGATGGGTAGAAGAGCCTCTGGTGTGATAGTGTTGTCCATGGTTTGGTCCATTTTGGTACGTTCTGTTCTCAAAGCTCTGCTTTTCTTCTGTTTGTTTGAAACTTACTGTAAAGTGTTTAGTAATGTGTAGAGTAACTAATTGTCATGGAAATTGTATCTTGCTTAATGTTTTCAGTAATGTGTACCTCACTATGGTTTCTGACTGTGGTCTGGAACTCACTAGTCAAGAGTGAAAACTGAATGGAGAATTTAGTAATCAGCACACTTTATATAGTCAGGACTGTATGACATCACGTGTATTGATTCACATTCACAATGTGAAATCAACCACATATTTGGAGTTTAAATAACTATATTCCCACATAAAAAACTCTCAGAACTACTATATGTGACACAAGAACAGAAGTATTAGTTACAGTTGTGAGTCCGACATTTCCGCTTTTTGGTGGCGAAATGCATTCTGGGATATCTGGCTATCTTTTTTTTTTTTTTCATCTTTATTGCAAAAAAAGGGATACAAATCACAAGTGACTTACCAAAATATACATAACAATATATAAATATATAAGACAGAGTAGACAGAGTACAATACAGTTTTGCCAGAGGAAGCCTATGTCATTGCAAAGAGAGAGAGGAACATATGTTGACCGTTTTAACTGCCTTTTTGTTGTTGGAGCCAGAGATCAGATTAATATAATGTACAACTTCATGGAGAAAAAGTACAAAATTAGGGTTTTCAGCGCTGAATTTACATTTATGAATGTGAAATTTTGCCAAAAGAATTAATAAATTGATAATGAAGTACATCTTTTCTTTACTTTGACTTCTATAAAAGCAAAATACAACATTCTTCCACAATAAGGCAAAGTCTCTATAAATATGGTCACTGATGAATCTGCTGAGGTGTTGCCAAAATGTTCTGGTGTGTGAGCAATACCAAAAGAGGTGCAAAACAGTTTCTGTGTGGTCTTCACAGAAAGAACAGTTTGTATTGATGTCTCTTTTAAATTTAACCATGTAATTATTAGCAGGGTAATATCTGTGAATTATTCGGAACGACACTTTTTTCACCTTGTTTACTATCAAGTATCTGTGAGGAATCATCCAAACCTTTTTCCAGTCAATGTCATTTACAAATCGGTTCCAATAAAATTTAACATTTGGAATAGAAAGAATTTCTTTCTGAAATAAAGCATGAATGTTCTTATTATTTCAAGGAAGTTGGGAAAAACTGGTGGTTCAGCCACATCGGGGAGGGAGGCAGAAGTAGGCGGAAGTCTTGACAGTATAGCTAAAAAGCATGATTGTGTCTGATGGAATGGCTTCAAATACAATTGCAAATTCTCTTGGCATAACTGGAATGTTATATGTTGAAAAAACTCTCTACAGGAGAAAAGTCGCCCCTCTCCATTAAATAGCTGGTCCATCAGCAGAATATGATTGAGTACCCAACTCTCAAAAAAGAGTGACTTGTTTTTATATAAAATAAATCTATGTTATTCCAAATTAGATACCTGTGAGGTGAGAAATTATGCTTATGAATTAGAGACCATGTTAAAAGGACCTGCTTGTGAAAAGTGGACAGTTTTACAGGGAGTTTGTCCACATTGTAGTTAAAGTTTAAAATAAAGCGCAGCCTGCTGCACCAGCGATACGTAAGTTCTACCTTAAGTTAGGGTGCAAAATCCACACTAAACAATACGTTGAAACTAGTTAGTTTGAGACTTCAGCTGTGTTGATGTTTGGTTGCAGCACCGAGACGTAAGGATAGTGTCGCAGAAAATGACGTTTACACATCCCATGGCCAATCAGTGAACAGCACTATTCTTAACAGAGTTTATTGCGGTTTTGTCATCTGTTTGTCTCTCTCTCTTTCAACATTTTGCAATACTGAAGAGGCTAACGGCTAAAAATAGCAACAAAACACCAACAAAAAGGTACGTATAGGCCTACAAGGACAAATGATTATGATTAGGTGATAACTATGAAACCTTAATCTGCAGCTACAACTACTACAACATAGACGTAATTTAATGGTGCCCGTAACAAACTGTAAAGTATAACGGACAGATGAAATTGTAACATTATAACTTATATACGCGTAGGAGCCATGCTGGAGAAAAGTGGGTCCCCTCATATTTCAAAATCTATGTTTTGCCCCTCCACACACACACTTTTCTCCAGCAATTTCGGAGTTGGCTAGGCGAGAAGGTTTACTATGAGTGGCTAATCACTCCACATGAGACATAATTAAACGGTTGAAACGCGGACAAAAATCGTGTAAGTTAGGCCTATAGAAAACATTCCGACACAACGCTAAGGAGATGCTGAAAAGTTACGGGAGAAAAAATACGAGTTTGCTGGAGGCAGGTTCAGCTAAGTGCCTCAATATTACAGACTTTTCCTCTGTGCTGCTGGGCTTTACAAATCACACATCGTTTCAAAACGATGCTCCATGACAACCACTTGAATTTTTTATGGAGGACTTTACACCTATTAAGGACTAGGTGTAAGATTTAAGCTGTAACTTATGTCTACGTTGGACGTATTTCAGCTGGTGCAACTCTTAAAACGTTAGTAGCACGTAAACTCCGACTTAAGTTAGAAATTACGTTGAAACTAGGCTAAGTTTGAACTTACACATAGTTGGTGCAACCCAGTGCAGACCACCAAAGCGAGAGAATATATAGTGGGGAATAAAATTCCATATCGAGACAGGGTTTTTAAGTAAATGCTTAGCCCAATTAATCTTAAAAGTATTATTTAGAGTATCGAAGTCCAAAAAGTTGAGCCCACCAAGTCATTAATGGATTAAATACTTTAAAATTCGCCTTTTTTACAGTCTGGACCACCTGTGAGCATGAGTTTACCGTTTCATGATTTCGGTAGAAACAAGTCTATGTCCAGTTTAATTAAATTTAAATGATGAGTGTTCCTGACAGTAGGGGGGAGGTTCAAACTGTCAATGTAAGAAAATGACAAGCCTGTTCTGTTGACTTGCACTGTGACTCCGAGCAGGTCACTTTTTGTAAATAATGAATACCCATTACCAATAGTTTGCAACTTGTTATCCTAAGATTATTAGTTGTGACGGCCTGGGGTGTTGGCCTGTTCTCTCTCCTTTTCTTTTCAGGTCTTTCTTCCTGTTTGGTCAGACACGCCCACCTCATCAGTGATTGCAGCCACCTGTTCAAGTCTTTAAAAGCTGTGGTGAACCAAGATGGCTCTCTCTTCCTCGTGACCTCTCTCCTGGAAGGCAGGTGCCTTTCAGGAGCTCCTTTTCTTTTGGTTGTTTGTTTTGAGTATGATGAGTTTGAGTTACTTGTTAAGGTAACTTTAATAAAACCTTATGATTCATTTAAACTGTTTGTTATGTTCTTCCACGAGCTGGGCATAACATGGTCCTGTGCTGCTATTTGCTTTAACAATGCAAGCTGTACACCAACAAGGCAGTAGGATACTGTAGATTATATAAATATAAATAGAATGGATGTGACTTAAGTTTATGTAATTTATGTCTTTGACCTATTATCATGAAGAAGTGTGTCCTAAATCCCTAAAAATGAAACCGTGCCTGCTTGTTACCCATTCTTCTCCCACAAATACTTATTATGATTACATAACACATACAAAAAAGCAGTTCTGTCTTCATTTAGTGTTGTTCAGTTATTACTATTTACTACTATTTGTCTCATGAGACCATAAATATTCTGAGAATATAATACAACAGGAAAGTCCACTAATTCACTTGCTTTAGCTGAAATATAGTGCTTCCATGAATATCAGAGGGAAAAAAATAATTTTTCCCCCAGCTATAACTCCAAAACCAGTGTCTTGGTAAAAGGCTGTGGTACAAGAATATTTATATAAGGTGATCTTTTTTAGGGTTTGAACGCCTACAGTATAGTGCAATTAGCAAATCACCATACACCTGTGTGAGCTGACAATTCTTATACAAACAAAGAGATGTTGAGTTGTTTCAAATTAATCCTTTATTCAGAACCCTGTTTTGGTGAGGCAGGGGTAATAGGGGAGCTAAAGATGTAATGTAAAATATACACCCAAGCAAGTTAAATTATACCTAACTGTCACCATACTTCTGAATCAAGCATACCGGTATTACACGTACAGTATGTGTTGAGGTTTGATGTGTCAATCACTTGGCGTATTACTTCTCAGGTATCAAACGTTGAAAGCTATGGTGACCAAGATGTTTTGAAAGCATGCTTCATTTGCAATAACTGACTTGACTTGTTTGAGTTTTTTTCAGGTTTATATTGTGTTTTATATCCAATATGGCATTTATAATGTTGTAGTATGTTTATGTTGTTTGCTATTCATTAGATGAATGTTAAATTTTGAATTATTTGTGGGAGTTGTTACATCATCAACAGTGTGCTTTTGTAAGATGGAGGATTGATGTTATTATGATGTTTTATATATATTAAGGATTTCAAATAGATAACAAAACAAGCAGAAACATTAAAAATACGTAGTAAATAAAAAGGTCTTTATTGTTTAAATAATGCAAACATCTAATTAACCTAATCTGCATGTCTTTAGAGTATGGGATGAAACTGGAGCAGCCGGAGTAAACTCACACATACACGGAGAGAATACACAAACTACACAGAGAGAGAACCAGAGCCAGGACTGAACACCAGTTTATCCCGTGCGGTCCACAGTTACAGTGAATCAAACTGAAAATATCTGGGCACATGTAGAAGAGATTACAGCTTGTGTTGCGGAAATTGGACAGAAAATTCCCCTCACACTGCGGTGTAGACAGCCCTGTATCTCCTCTGAGCCAAATGGAGCCTCCTTCAGCTTATTTTGACCTGGCAGAGATGAGGGTTCACTGGTACCGAGATTCACCACCTCGGCCAAGGTGCCCCACCCAACCGGTAGTAGTGCAGTCTCATTCCCCTTGACATATACTCACCTTTCTATATATACACACCTCTGCTCTGCACCCAGGTGTTGGTCTTCTGTCTTCTCCTTTATTTCAGTCTTCAGCCTGACAGCTTCCCATGGACCCTGAAGATGTACAGACACGAGTAGCCAGGATGGCCCCAGTTGAAGACACATTTTTTTATGATGCTGAGAGACAAAAACAAAGCGAGAGCAGAGCGAGAGAGTTAGTCGGGTGGGTCAAAAAAGAGCTAAAGTCAATGGGATTGGAAATAAGGAATAGAATAAGGACACGCAGAGATAGGAGGAAGCCTAAGTGTAGCACTTGTGATATATTAGCGTGTATAAATATATATATGCTACACACACGTATATAGTCAGATATTGTTTCAAAATCAAATTCAAAGAGCTTTACATAAGGCACACATAAAAACTCACTGATTAAGAAATAATAACAAACAAAAAAGTTAGTAGGCCCTATACTGAAATGAATACTGAAATTGATATTACAGCAACCAGTGGGCTCAGCAGCTGATAGAGCACTGCTGCCACCATGTGTTTCATGAGCAGTTCTGCACACAGAAAGCTGGAGGTAATCTGTGCAAAGAGACTCTTACTGATGGTGGGAACCATAAAAACATCTTCCAGCAGGAGATTTTTAGAATAAAGTCACCGAAAAGCAAAGCACCAAACTACTGTGAGGCATAGGAGGGGGATGACAATCTTCCAAAACTTAAAAAATGCATTGATAGTAGAGAACAAGAGCTGTTAATTGTTTGTGTGTCCAATACATTGACTTCACTCTGGCGGACAACAGTGGTTATATTTAGCCTAATTGTTTTGATCAAAATTATTTACTTTACTATGTCCTTGCTGCAAATACATTTACTTTTTTAGCTACTCAATGGACCCAAATGTAAAGCTGCTAAACTTCCTGTAGATGGTTCACAGTGACACTCTACAATCAGCAGCAGAGTTACTTGACCTGGTTAAATTTTACTTCACAGTGTAACGGTGGGAGACAGAACGGACCCAAACGCAACGCTGAGGGTAGAAAATGAGGTTTCTTGAGGAAAAGGAGGTTCGAGGCGAGGGCGGGTGGAAGGAGGGGGAGAGGCAGACGAGGACACGGGGAACCGAGAAGCTGGAGGAACGGAGGGCACCTAGGCTGGAGGCTTGAGGGAGGCTGGCAAACGGATAGGAGAGGGCGCGGAGACTGGGGTCCAGGCGGGGTGCGAGAGGAGAAGCCGGAGGGCGTCGTGGAGGCGGCGAGAGGAGGAGGAGGAGGCAGGCGAGCGAGCGAGCGAGCGAGCGAGAGCGAGAGAGAGAGAGAGAGAGAGAGAGCCGGCTGGCCGAGCTGGGAGGCGGAGGTGAGTGAACCAGGTCAAGAGCTGCGACGATCGAGCGAGGATGGAGTCGAAAGCCGGGGTAGATATACTGGCTGTGATGAGGCTGATGGCTGGCAGGTGCGGCGGCTGGGGATGGAGGTAAACGAGGTGCAGGTGTGGGTAGCCAGCCGGGCTCCGGAGCAGGGAGGGAGAGGACACACACACAGAGAGAGAGAGAGAGAGAGAGAGAGAGAGAGGCGGGGGGGGGGGGGGGGGGGGGGCACAGGAGAAACCAGAATGTGAGGGAAAGGAGAAACAGGCCACTCACCGACAGCCGGGCTGCCACCGCGACACACAGCCTTTTATTGATCTAGATGTAACTTATCATCTTAAAGAAATAAATGAGAAGCAGGTGTTCTTCTCCACTCTATTTTTTAATACTTCTTCTTCAGTCCAAGAAGTTTTGATTTAAATACTGTATATAGTGAAATATAGCAATTACAAGCCCTTACATTAGCTGCGTCTGAGGCTTTCTTTGATTTATACTATTTTAGTTGGTAGTTACCCATGAAAACAAGCTAAAGTTATGGCCCTCTGTTGTACTGACCTACAAGGACTTCCACCCACTTACAGACATGCTTTGAACTTTTTACATATTCCAAGGTACAACAATAATTTCATTATCTCAATAAAATAACATGTAACTAATCGTTTGTTACTATTAACTACAACCATGTAAACAAAACTTAAGTAAACTTTTTCTTCAGAAAGATTTTGCACCAGCTGTTGTTCTGCTCCTTTGATAAACTTTTGCTCCCTGCAAGGATTTTTGTCAAATAAAAGATGCATTATGTGGACTATATTTTCCCTGTTGTTGAACTCACAGAGGAAAAACAACAAAGCTGTAAGTGGTGCATCTAAAGCAAACACACGGGTACAATACTGACTTGTCTGTACGCACACTGCAATTTGGAATAATGCAGACACAGGCCTACATCCCACTTCCTGTCTTCAATGCCAATTTTGTTTCAGCGTAATCGTTTTTGACAAATGATTAGTGCTCCTGACAGTAGTGCAGGAAGGTTCAAACTATTGATGTAAGAAACTGATCAGCCTGTTCTGTTGACTTGCATTGTGACTCAGGAGCAAGTCACTTGGTCAATTGTAAATACTGAATGCCCATTCGTAGTACCAATAGTTTGCAACCAGTTCTCTTAAGATTATAGGTATAAGCTGTACACTAACAAGCCAAATATAGGCAGTAAATATAGATTGTATTCACATTAAGTTGATGTAATTTATGTATTTGACATATTGTTATGAAGCAGTGTGTCCCAACCTTTTAGGCTAAAAATCCATAAATGAAGCAGTGCCTGCTTGTTACCGCTCATCACAAGTTCAGTGTGGCAATGAATTGTGTGTAGTTTTAGTAAAAGACTGATTTTCTTGGATTGTTTCATCTGAATCTGAAAGTGTTAGACGCCAGAGGAGGTAAAACTATCTAGTGTTCCACAAGAAAAAAAGCATCGATCAGAGAAATGTAATTAGGGATCCAAGCAGCAAAGCTGCTGGAGCCCAGTTGTTTTTGTCCTCATTCTTCTTCTTTCTTTCTTTCTTTCTTTCCTTCTTCTTTTTCTCCACTAAAAGTATTTGGGCAGCAAAAACTGCTGGACAAAAACTCACCAAAATTGGCAGGTGTGTTGCAAATTCCACCCACTACTCAGGCAAAAAAAGAGAAAACTTTCCCTCCCTACCTGTCAGCATAACTTTGCAGGCTGAGGTGGCCTCCGGTAATCTGCTGGTTGATTAGAGCTGGATACCATGCCTTGGGAGGTACACGGTTAGTCTCTTGTCATTCAGTCACTGTGTTTCGCACAAAAACCTTTAAGGGGAAAGTGCCTTCTATCCATTAGTCTGCACTGGCCCATCAGGGAAGGACCTGTCAGCAGCCAGACATCTCCACAGAACAAAGATCTATCACATTCCAAATTTAACACAGTGCCCTTTGAGCTGTTTGCAGACCTTGATGAACTGGGGGAATGCTGGTGTTCTATTGTGTGTGTGGGAGTGTATTTGAGACACACACAGAGAAGACTTACTGCTACTTTGCTGTCCTTGTCCTGTTGTACTGAGACTGGAGGGCCACGCTCACAGGGGAAATGCTGATTCAGAGGAAGGTCTCTCTGAATGTCTCATTTATTTTTCAGCACTGGCACACAGCTGCTGCCAGCTACATGAATAACACATATCCAGAGACTCTGTTCGAGCTCAATTGCAAACAGATATGAATGTTTCATGGGTGAAGTTAAACTATGAGCTGTAACTGTGGGGCAATGGACCCACACACCACTTTCCTTAAAAACAGACCACCTACTGTATCAGACAGCATGCTGGAACCAGTCACATCAAAGTCAAAGATTTTACACCAGCTGTACTCAAGCTTACAGTCAAAACACACCTGGGTGCAACACAGAGCTTTGTTGTCAAACAAGGGAAGCTGTTTTGTGTTGTTCTAAGCGGTTTACGATCCTCTACAAACTGTCCTGTTGCTACAAAAAGCCACAAAAAGGCAGTGAAGTTGACACACACACACACACACACATATGCATACATGCTGCTGGGGATGTCATTTAAAAGCATATTATGTAAGTGTGTTGGTGGAGTTTTCTGCTCTAGTGAGTCTGGGTGGTAGGCCAGAAACATGTAATCCACAGCCTGAATCACAACTTATTGATTTGTGTCAGCAGGCCATTGACTGGTGCTGGATATGTGTGAAATGGGGATGGATAGTCTCACGCGTTTTTGTGCATGCATGTGCGTGTAAGGCAGGACAAGACGAGTTTATTTGTTTGGCACATTTCAACAACTAGGCAGTTCAAAGTGCTTTATATAAAACATAAACGGCATCAAGGCAAAATGTACAGGCAACATAAGGCAATATAAAAAGACATTTAAATACAATTAAATTGAAAATTTAAATAAGATGAAACAGTAAACAGTAAAAGATGTGCAGTGTAAGATATTAATCATAAGCCTTTATTTTATTTAATAAAAGGCAGAAGCAGCAGCCATTATTTGAAAGAACTGCAGCGAACCTGCAGTTTTCTGGGAGTTTCTTTCAGATATATAATGCAAATAAAACTGAACGCTGCTTGTCCATGTTTAGTTATGACTCTGGGGACAAAAAACAGACCAGATGACCTGAGTTGAGTGGATAGTTCATAACGTAGCAGAAGATCAGAAATGCATTTTGGCCTTAAACCATTCAGTGCTTTATAAACTAACAGCGGTATTTTAAAATCAATTCTTTGACCAACAGGAAGCCAATGTAAAGTGCTCAGAACTGGAGTGATGTGATTCACTTTTCTGGTCTTACTGAGGACTCAAGCAGCAGCATTCTGAATCAGCTGCAGCTGTCTGATCAATTTTGTAGAGAGACCTGTAAACACAGCAGTACAGTCGAGTCGGCTGAAGGTAAGTACATGGACAAGTTTTTCCAAATCCTGCTGAGACATAAATCCTTTAATCCTTAATATATTCTTCAGGTGATAGTAGGCTGACTTTGTAAGTATCTTAATGTGGCTATTTAAATTCAGGACTGAGTCCATGACTACACCAAGATTTCTGGCTTGGTTTGTGGTTTTTAACATTACCGATTGAAGCTGAGCACTGACTTTCAATCGTTCTTCCTTGGCAACAAAAACAATGACATCAGTTTTATCTTTTTTTAATTGAAGAAAATTCAGTCACATCATTGTGGATTTGTTCATTGCACTTACTAGGCACAAACTGTGTGTCATCTGCATAGCTATGGTGACATATTTTGTTGTTTTCCATAATCTGAGCCAGTAGAAGCATGTAGCCTAGATTTTAAACTGAAGAGGCCCCAGAATTTAGCCGTGGGAAACTCAACAGGTCATTTTTGTTTGCTCAGATGTTAATTACTTGTAGACACAAAGTAGTCCCTGTCCTTTAAGTAGGATTCAAACCACTTTAGTACTGGGCCTGAAAGTCCCGCCCAGTTTTCCAGTTTTGAATTGAACTGAAGTGAAGTAGACACAGGGACCATGCATATGCTGTACCTGGTATGGATGCATTGAATCCTTGTTTAATTTTTTGAATTTAATGGAGAGGAAGTCACAGGCAGCCTTAGCAATGTTTCAACCGTTTGAATTGAACGGGCTCCGACCTCCAAAGGGGCCTTACAGACATGCTAGAATTGAATAATTCACCCACTTTTAAAATGAAAAATCACTCAATGTTTAGAGGCATGGACATGGTAGAGAGAGAGAGAGAGCATGAATATGGACATAAATGTGGACGTGATATGAAAACTTTCTTTGATCATGAGGCCTTATGTTACTCTACAGTTCTGTGGTTTATCAGTGGAGTGTATGAACTAAACTGCGGACTGGAGTCTCTGTTAACAGTGACAGGCAGACAGATTGAGCTGCATTATATACGCTCATCTCCTCTATGAAAGCCTGTATCCTCACTGCGCTGCATTATTATAAACTATGATGAATTGGTCACGGGTCACATCTCTCTCTCTCGTCCAGGCGCTGTCTCTCCCTCTTCATCTCTTTGCAGTTCTCATTGTGATGGATATTTGATATTTTACTGTGTTTACTGTTTCACCCTGCATGCTTCATCAGAATAGACCAGTGTTTCACTGTGTGGTATTTGATTATTTTATTATGTTACAGCTAGGTAAAGTTTCCCATGGGAAAGATGCTCGTTAGAGAGTTTTCTTATCAGACTGTCCTTGATAGGCCTTCATCTCAGGACAGCTGGTCCCTACTCCCTTCCTCCTTTGGATAGCTGTTTAATACCCTTACAGTATAAAGTCACCTGCTTCTTCACTGGCTCTTTGTCTTACACTCTGCAGACTGTTTTGCACTCTGTAAGTTTGTCTGACCCTTTGCAAAGAATAAAACCCTTAAAAGACGTCTGGATTGGAATCTTTATTTCAGAAGACTCACTAAAGGACAAATTTCCATTACATTTGGTGTCAGAAGTGGGATGGTTTGGCAAAGTTTGTCTGGGACCTGAGACGGCTGGCGACTGATCACCCTGGAGTCAAGTGTCTCAGCCTCCACCTCACTGACTTAAGAGACGGGAGGGTCGACCGTCCGTGCCCCGGACCG